CGAAAACATCCTTTTAGTCTATTTGGTAACTCTATAAAACTAAATTTGAACATAGCTAGCCTAGTTTAAGAGAGATTTTTTATTGGAAAAAAACTAGACCAAAAATAGCCTAGTTTGATTTAAGTGTTTTTTTGGAGTTTAAACTGGTTTAGTTGTAGACTAAGAGGTAGCTCGTCCACAACTAAACTGGCCCTCTTCAAAACGAGTTCCAAAGCAAATTTCGGCCCTGAGTTGCGAAACACACCCTAAGAATGGTGCCTACTCGTATATAAGGCTCCTGGTCAAAGAACCTTGAATTTGATTCAATTGGAAATAGGTTTTTATAATTGTAAAAGTTTGATTCTCAATTTTAATTTTGCATATCATAGTGGTGTGTGTATATATATATATAAACTTAGGTCAACTTAAGTAGACCATCCACCAAAGTTTCTATCCATTGATGATACCTAAAGATCTGTGCATCATATGAAGAGATTTTTTATCAATGGATAAAAACTTTGGTGGATGGTCCACTTAAGTTGACATAAGATTTTCTCTCTACTAAAAATCTACATCTGTGATTCTCGTTGAGAACTTTTAAATTTGATTTTTATTTAAGAAAATTTATTTCTTTTTTTTTATATTTAGAAATCTAGATATGGATTCAGATCTTTTTTATTATCAAAAAAATAGTGAAGGGACCACAATTTAATCGCAACCATTTATTATATTAGTGGATGATTATGATTCTTTTGTAAAATTAGAAATGAGCACAATACATGTGGATATAATAAGTGTTAGATTTAGAATATATCATAGTCACAAACTAGATAGTTAATGTTATACCGCAGAAATGGCTAAGTGTTAATCCTCCCTAGGAGTCGACACGTGTCCCATATTAACAAAACCAGATTGACCTTGTCCGATGCGAGATGACTTGGGTAACATCTACACTCAACACTTCTCAAGAGGGGGCGAGTCGAAAGGCGTCCTTACTCGAATCTCGCTGTTAGGATCAACTCTACGCCCCTTCATTCTATAATATCGGGTCAAGAACTTTCAAGTCTTAGATAGTCGACTAAAAATGTGTCATTTATTGGCCCTCTCGCAAAATTGAGACGAGAGGCGGTTTGTCTTCGAATCACCCATTGATAGTCGATCGTCATCACATTAAATGCATGACCGGAATCATTATTACTCCGGCCCCAAAGTCTTTATGACTCCTCGGACTCCGTTAGCATCATGCTTCCCTTGTCACCATCACATTAATTGCATGAGTGACTCATCCCATTTGCATCCGACACTTGTAAAGTATTTGTCAACTAAGCCGCCTGCTTAGACTCGACCAAAGTTATGCAATTGCCCCTCTGTATCTTCTATAAATAGAAGTATTGTCTGTTGTATAAGGGTAAGCAATCTCTTGCTAATAAACATATTGCATTCATATATTTTCTCCACTCAAGCTCACTACTGACTTGATCGTCGGAGAAACCGCCGGAGATCCCAATTGTGATGCTCTCATGATGTAGAACACACAGCAGACACGTTTATGTCAAAGTGGGATAGTCGCAAGCCCAAATGCCGGCCTGGTCGAAGAAAATAACTTGTTTCGAAGAAACGATCGTAACTTTCAAACCGTACGTCGGAATTGGACGAATTATATATGAAAATCGACTATCTCGACGAGACGGAGCCATCCAAACCAATCCATTCGGGTTTGGTTTGCGTTCTCAGTTTTGTCAAATTCCTTACGGTTTGAGAGATATTTGCATTTTTGTCCGTTTTTACTATTTTTGGTAATATTTTAGGAGTTTGTTTTGTTTAGGAAACAAATCCGATTTGATCTCAGATTTGACCGGAGGAATTTCCTAATCATAAGGAGTCTTTTTAGGAGTTTTAATGTTTTAGGAATTCTTTACCATTTTTGGTAAGTTGAGAGTTCTTGTAGGAATTAGAGTCCTTGTAGGAGTCTTGTTTCTTTTTCTATTTAAGAAGAGTCTTGTAAGCCCTAGAGGCATAACTTTTGATTAATAAAATTTTATTTTTCCTCAATATTTCTTTGTGGATTCGAAGCTCTTCGTGGATTCGAAGATCGTTCTTTGTGGATTCAGAGAACACCCTTGGTGGATTCCGAGGTTATCACTTCTGCGCTGCGTCATCTCACGTATTGTTTGTGTGCATGATTGTATCTTCTGCTTCACAACCAACCATCAAACAAAATTGAGGAACCCCAACACTATTTGATAGCTGCGTCAACAATCAACGATTTAATTTAAAATAGTGGTTTCTTTTCTTCACTATTTTTTTTATAAAGAAGAGGATTATCACCATTAGTTTTTCAGCTGTTAATAAATATAACTGCAATATTACTATGATATATGTTAGGCCAGGTCCATATGGTGAGTTCAACTATAAAGTTTGTGCTGGGAGCGTGCGCTTGATTTCTTGTTTACCCCCACTTTTATGCAATCCTCAATAATGCGCTCTATCGTCCCTGTCACGCGCTGTGCGCCTCAAATTCTCGAACCCATGAAAACTGTTCTCATCTGAAAGCAAAACTTCCTAATGCTTCCATTCCCTAATTACGCACGTAAACCATCCACAAAAGTAACCGTGGCCCCCTAGGGCGGGGCCCATATCCATTAGATGGGTGTACCAACGGGTGTAGTTTGCATAGGTTGTTTTTTTCTCATTTATAAAGCCAAATCAAAATTGAGAAACAACGAAACACAGAGCACCGCGCCTCTCTGCTTCGCTGTCACATGAAGCTCATCAGTGCTCCAAAAAGGAGCTCAGAACCATAATTAAATGGACTTTTCCGATTTTAGCCCATTCCAGTTTTCAATACTTCAAACTTAGTCCTTCAAATCATAGAAATTGCTATGAGCCACCCTAACTCTATATTCATGCTACCGATAAAAGGGATTAATTTTAAAATAATTTTGGGGACTCAACAGCTTTTACCAATTTGGGGAAATTTTGGGATAAAATCTTAAACCATCATAAGATTTGTTTTTTTTTAAATGTAGAGGTGTGTGTTTTTTTTTTGGGTGGGTTGGGGGTTGCAAGCTTGTAGTATCTTTAAGAGTATTAAATGTATAAGAAATCAGATTACTTGTATAGCTGGTCATGTAATTAGATACTAACTGGATCATTAATCACTCCTAATATTTTTCTTCAATGGCTTGTTGTAACTTCAAGGGTTAATTGGTTTACTGTCAGATGTATATATAATCAGATTAATCGGATAGCTGGTCATGTAATTAGATACTAACTAGATCACTCCTAATATTTTTCGACAATGGCTTGTAGTAACTTCAAGGGTTAATTGGATTACTGTTGAACTATATATATAATCAGATTACTCCGATAGCCGGTCATGTAATTAGTTACCAACAGGATTATTAATCACTCCTAATATTTTTCGTATAATATAAGTTAATAGAAGTTGCAAAATATAACAAGTTTTCATTTTCAAAATTATCGAGATATTACACGTGCGAAGAAATATTTTCTAATAAATGATCAATACTTTTTATGCTATATCCGCAAAATCTATTTATGTCAGCTGACGAAAAAAGGTCGGAAGTGATTTTTAGTGCCCCTATTAGCATTTAGGCCATCCAGGTACACATCCAAATAAGGCTGGCGAGTGAAAGTTGTGGCGACCAAAAACAGTCGAGTTAAAATAATTTGAGGGACTGGTTTCACAAATGTAGAAATACAAGGACCAGCGTCGAAAAGACCCTAACTAAATTCTCTATCTCACTGCCACGTGGCACACACCTGGCACCTCGCAGGTGCTCTCCCTGCGCCGAGCGAAATAGCAGAGCACAAGAGAGAAATAGCGGAGGAGAGAGAGCGAATTGGACGACGGTGCTCCCCTCTTCATGGGCATAATCCCCACATATCCCTGTGCTTTCTATCTCTACTTTCTCTCTCTTCGAAGAACCCGAATCCCATCAACTACTGCAATCAAAAGCACCCGATCTCTCGAGAAGAGAACTCCAACAAAATGGACCTGAATTCCATTCGCTAATCCCTTGGGTCGGGTACGGGTCC